TCGCCCCTTCCTGCCTCAGCTTCCTGGGGCCCAAGCTGACCATGATCGTCGGGGGCGTCACCTATGTGTGGGTATATTCGAAGCTTTTAGAAGACGTGTAGATTTTTTCCTTTCCAGATGATAGAAGCTTTAAAAATCTCCATTTCTTCTCTTTTTTTAGAATATTTTTTTATTTTCTTCACATTAGCCATGCAGACTATCTGTTATTGAAATTGTGTCTAGTTACATTTTTACCAGTAAAAAAAAGCTATTATACCTATTATTTGCTGGCCATGTCTGTCTGTCTCTGTCCGTCTCTTTCTCTCTCTCTCTCTCTCTCCTTCTCCCTCCCTCTCTCTCCTCTCTTTCTCTCTCATTCTCTGCCTATCCTTATATCCATCTACAATCTACCTATCTATCTTTCTATACATAAATATCCACTAATAAACGTATGCTCAACGCTCTAAACTTCCTTTTCTCTTCCGAAATTCAGGATATTCATCGCGAGTTTCCTGTGGCCTCAGACGTGGCTTTTGTACCTGAGTTCAGTCCTGATAGGGGTCGGCGCGGCTCTCATCTGGACGGGGCAGGGCAACTACCTCACTCTCATGTCCGAGCGAGACACAATTGCACGGAATTCCGGCATTTTCTGGGCTCTGTTTCAAAGCAGGTAGGTGGGCACAGTATGAACTCTTGAGTGTGTGTGTGTTGTGTGTGTGTGTGTGTGTTTGTGTGTGCACATCCTAGTGCGTGTTCTCAGCGCCGATCCCTCCTTTGCGCAGCCTCCTCTTCGGAAACATCTTCGTGTTCTACATGTTCATGGGGAAGGACGTCATCGACGCAGGGACGCGCCTCGTGGTGTTCGCGGCGCTGACGGGCGTGGCGCTGCTTGGCCTGGCGATCCTGCTGGCGCTGCCCAAGCCCGGCGCCGGCGGGAGCGGGCGCCAGGACGACATGGGCGGACCGCTCGACGCCCTCAAGAAGTCCTTCGAGCTCTTCAAGACGCGGGACATGATCCTGCTCTCGGCGACTTTCTTCTACACGGGTGAGGATTTCTTGTTTGTCCGGAAAGTCATTACTGTATTACGTTTTTTTTTTTTTTTTTTTTTTTTTGGGGGGGGGCGGAAGCCATTCGTTTAAAGGTCACTTTATTACAGTGAACTCTGTCAAGGATGAAAACTTTATTCATAGAGTGGCGAAGCACAAAGCTCCGTCTTTGATTGGTTGTACAATTCGTGGCTGAAAGATCGCCCGCCCGCGACATCAAGACCATTCCCAGGAGCCGCGCCTTCCGCCCACCCGCGACGGCAGCCGAACGCCCACAACGCTCGGTGAACGCGAAGTCCCCCGCTGAAAGTCCTCTTCTTCTCCTGTTGTCGGAGACGTGGCCGACGTCCTTTCACCGAGGCCATGGTAGGAGCCCCCACTCCTGCTCCGACGCCTTAGTGTGGACGTCTCGTCCCCTGCAGGACACAAGCTGGCATCGACAAAATACTAGCCGGTGCCACCCAACCCGAAGAGAAGGGGGATGAAGAGTGCACCGCAGAACGGCCAGCTCGCGACCGCACCGACGGAAGGGCAGTGCCACCAAGGGTCCCGGGAGAGCCGGGAGACACATCCCCGGAAGTCAGCGAATCGCCCAGTCACACCGATTCCTTCGGGAGTGACCCGTCCCCCGGCGACCGTAGACAACATCAAAGGATCTGGGAGAGGAGAAACGATCGTAGGCGGGTCTCGTTGAAAGGATTCCAAAGATGGCGGACGTCGTCAAAGTGGCAGTTCGCGCTAAGCTGAGTGGAGTTCTGGGAGAGGAGATTCTGGGAAAGATGTTGTCGCTGCGGCCGCCGGGAGAAAAGTGTTCTGTATTAGGATAAACGTGTTTTTATGCATCCATGTCAGTTACTCTATTGCGGTGAGAACCATCAGTCCCGCTCACTGAAATCCCTGGATCCAGACAAACACCGCCATGGTGGAGCGTTTATCTCCTCAACAAAATTTCTTATTACTGTCGGAGCAGACACTTCGACATCTATCTCCCTCGTTAGTTGTTCATGCCCAGTCACCCTAGAATAGGAAAAGGGAATGTTTATCGTTGAAACGAAAGGGAAAAGGAGCTCTGTCCACAGGATTAGTGACTAAATACGAGGATTCTAAGTATTGTCAGATAACCTCTCGGATGTTGGTGAAGATAAGATTACAGTGTTCAATAGCTAGAAATTTAGACATGTAATAATCTATTCAAGATAGGACAAAAGAAAATAATCTTGTTATAAATAGTCTACTGTATATCACATTATTTGTTCCTTTTCTAAATTTTGTTGTTGTTGTTGTTATTCAGGTATTGAGTTGTCGTTCTTCAGCGGAGTCTACAGCACCTGTGTTGGCTCGACGCTCAGGTTTAGCGATCCCAACCGCCTCGTTGGTATTTCCGGCATGTGCATTGGTATCGGAGAAATATTAGGTGAGCTGAGGTTAAGAATCTTTATCATGTGATATTTTGGTGATCAAAACAAGTAGCACGACTCAGTTTACGTTTGTGTTTTGGTCTTTAACTTCTAACTTTGTTTTAACTTTCCATTTATTCACTTTCGCACTTTTTAAGGTGGTGGGATTTTCGGCATCTTTGGCGGCAAGACCGTGAAGGCTGGAAGGGATCCCATCGTGCTCCTAGGATTCCTGACGCACATCCTCAGCTTCTTCCTCATCTTCCTCAATCTTCCTACTATGTCTCCTCTCGAGCGCACATACGACCCCAGCTTCCTCGGCGCCGGCCAGCCAAGGTGAGGGGCGCCACCTCCCTTCGGTGAATCAAGGAAATACCCTTTTCATATACGGATTTCTCTCATTTCTCTTCACTATTCACTACATAATTCTCTTCTTCTACGACACGTTTTATTTTTTGCAGCGAGTTTGTCGCCCTCCTCTGCAGCGCTATGTTGGGCTTCGGCGACGCCTGCTTCAACACGCAGATCTACTCCATCCTCGGGTCCATCTACCAGGACAACTCGGGCCCTGCTTTCGCGCTGTACAAGTTCACGCAGTCGCTGTCTGCCGCCGCCTGCTTCTTTTACTCGAGTGTGGTGCAGCTTCACTGGCACCTCGCTATCCTTACGGTGTTCTGCGTTCTGGGCACAATCAGCTTCTGTGTAGTAGAATGGAAAGCCTACCGGACTGTACAACATGCTGTTGACACCAAAAGTTAGGCATATTGTATGATGATTGCTATCTCTATTCGATAGTAGGTTTATGATTCCATTATATACATCTGAAATATATAAAGATTCCAAATACTTGTTAAGTGATAACACACTTACCTTACGTTAGCCCCGCTATGGTGTGGCATGTCGTTGCCTTAAAAACTAAATTGAGATTAGCGTTCTAATTCATTTCACGTATATACCACACACACACACACACTAATATGAGCGCGGGTGTGTGTGTGTGTGTGTGTGTGTACTTATATATACAAACCAGAGGGGAGGAAGTGAAATACATGCCAAATTATACCGGTATGCCATCCATCCTACCATTTTTGTATATTTGTCAATTAAATTAGTCTTCTTTTTCATTATTTCCATGGTCACAACTGTTGCTCAAGCGTCGGTCATATTAACATTATCATGTAATGATAATTATATCAGACATCAGCTTATCACACGTTACTTAATTTTCAATAAAATAATGATTTTGAAAATAGGTGTTTTGATTTCCCTAATGGTCTTCTGTCAACATACGTACTTATTATGATACCTGTAATTCCTGTTTTTAACAATAATATCCAATATTAACCGCCATTCAAACAAACCTGCAGATCTTTACACTCTTCGGTTAAATTCGACGTCACTCTCAACACACCACACACACACAAATGTGTGTGTGTGTGTGTGTGTGTGTGAGTATGAACACACACACACAATTAAAATAAAAAAAAAAAAAAAAAAAAAAAACAGACAACCACAAAACTTAAGAATGACTATCCTCACTGGTTAATGCTTCAGCGAAAAATAGTAACAAAAAAGGAAATCCGATTAGAAATTTCTCCAACCTGAATACACAAAATAAAATCTTATAAATTGTAAGTGACATCAGGCACTTAAATACAAAGCTAAACAATGTGCCTCAATTTCTTATGATGTGACCATCTCATTTTAACTCTCCTACTTATGTACCTGTTATTGATTCTCCTTATTCTATTTTACTGTAGCCTGTAACCATCTGCGTAAAAAACAACTATTGTAGTTAATCTCTCTCTCTCTCTCTCTCCATCTTTCTGTCTATCTACCTCTATTTTTTACCTATCTATCTATTTTATCTATCTATCTCTTCTCTCTCTCTCTCTCTCTCTCTCTCTCTCTCTCTCTCTCTCTCTCTCTCTCTCTCTCTCTCTCTCTCTCTCTCTCTCTCTCTCTGTGTGTGTGTGTGTGTGTGTGTGTGTGTGTGTGTGTGTGTGTGTGTGTGTCTGTATGTATGTCTGTGTGTGGTGTGAGTGTGTGGTGTGTGTGTGCACGCGTGTTTATATGTGTAAGAAAAAACAGTGGCTCAAGGTATTTCTTTGAATAAGAAAGCTCCTCATAATACGCCAACAAAAAAAAAAACAAATCCAGATAAAGATATCAGTATGATAACATACGACCGCGCAGTTTAAAAGATAAAAACAACAACAACAACAACAACACTATACTGTATATCCGACGTGGTGAGTGATCCATACAAACAGATATGGCCGTTCATTATCCCACCACACTATCTCCTCCTGCCTGTTGTGTGCCGTGTTGGTCGGGGGAGACAATGGCAAAAAGAAGAAGATAAAGAAGGAGGCGGACCCTGTTCTGTATACTCGTACGCTCATGAATCGACAAAACGTTATCTTTATTTTCTTTTTTCTTTTTTTTCTTTTTTGTATTTCTAAAGGATAAGGAGACCGTAGAAATTCTTATGCCTCTTTGTAAACGATACAAGCATTCAGTAACACAAATGCTTCTTGTATTTAAAGGCAATCTAATCGAAATGATTGACTGATTATTAAAAGTCAGGGTGCGGTAGATTCCGTCCCTCGGTATTCGCACGGGCGTGTTGCTGATAGGGTCACACGGATCGTCTGTCAGTCCAACCACGGCTTCTGTTAACTATTCCAGCAGTAATACTTATCATCAGTTGTACATTATACTCATACCGTCGGTATTTATTTGCCCTTTTGTCAAATACTGCAAGAACTCTGTCAGCTTGTACGTGGAAATGAGAGAATAAATAGAAAAACACAAGTTTTACACAACGAAAAATACAAGCTGTAGAAAGAGGAAGAAGAAAGAAACTGTAAAGATTTCACAAGGACATTTCTTACAAGGCAGGTATTTGATTTGTTATCTACTTGAGAACTACGTTTATCTGGCTTGAAAGATGTTGCCACTTGGTTGAGCTGGAAATTTCTCGGTATTTTTTTTTTGAGCTTTTTGAATTTTTGAGAGAGAGAGAGAGAGAGAGAGAGAGAGAGAGAGAGAGAGAGAGAGAGAGAGAGAGAGAGAGAGAGAAGAGAGAGAGAGAGAGAGAAGAGAGAGAAAGAGAGAAGAGAGAGAGAGAGAGAGAGTGAAAGAAAGACATATATATCATTACACCAGAAAATTGTCTGTTGTATTGCTATCAATAGTTAGTGACATTTTTTCAATATGATTTACATAAACTTTGGCAAAACTTTCAGTGGAGAGAGGATAAAAGCTTGGAGTGGAATCTCACGCTAGCGATATTAAAGTGGTTTTGTATTTCTCTATAAGTGCCATTTTAAGAGTGGTTTTATGAGATGCAGTGCGTGCAAGGAGCACTTGAACTTCGCATAAAAAAATCTGTCTTTAAATTAGTTTATGTGAAAGGATGGCGAGTGTAAACGAAAAAAAATATATATAAAATAAAAATATCCACGAAGGTTCTCTATGGCATTTGTATTGTTCAAGATTGTTTTAACAAATACCATATGTGAAGCTGCCAACAGAAGAGCCATAGCTATAGAAGGTGTATGATATATATACATATATATAGATATAATACATATATATATATATATATATATATATATATATATATATATATATATATATATATATATATATATACATATATATATATATATATATATATATATATATATATATATATATATATATATATATATATATATATATATATATATATATATATATCTATGTATGTATATGCACGCACACACGCACACACACACACACACACACACATATATATGTTTGTATGTATGTATATCCACATTTGATATATGCCAAGGATAGGTGCTGATTAGTATATATCAGTGGTTCCCTTACTGTGATGGTATACTTCACTTGTAAACCTCGGACACTATACTATACACAAATAAAATGTAAAAGTCTGATCTACTACAAAATCAACTACGTTTATTCCGAGATTTACCATGAACTATTTTATTCTAAATTTGAGGAGCAGTACATCACGAGTTTTCGGGAATGCCGGTTGTAAGCCGCGGTCTCAAAAGGGTTATGAATCTCAAGTATAAAATGTATTGGAAACTGGCAGGCATATGATCTTTTTTCAACTTGTCCAGGCTGATTTAGAGGCTTAAGATAAGGCATTATCTCAAGGGCCTATTGATTGAGATAAAAGCATAATGTCCAAGGCAGGTTTATCACTTATCACAAGGGTAGATAAGGAGTAGAAGATGGTGCTAGGGATAGGTCAAATAAACCGTTATCACTTACAAGATTAAGAGGGAAATGGGCCTTTAATTCCTAAAGGTGATCAGCCTTTTCCAAAGAAGTGAACATAATTTTTCTAATGTTACTTTTATCAGTCTTTTTCAATCTCCAGGGCATTTCTAACCCATTACGTTCTGTCCCGGTATGGAATGTATCTCATTAAATTACATTATCCGAAAGGTATTGTGTAACTACTAACTGGTTGTACACTCATTCATTCGTGGACATAATTTTCCTTATGTTATTTCTATCAATCTTTTTCAATCTCCTGGGCATTTCTAGCCCTTTGAGTTCTGTCTCAGTATGTATTATGGAAATATGTATATTGCTGGAATGTACCTCAGTGAATTATATCATCCGAAAGGTATTGTGTAGACTACTAACTGGTTGTACACTCATTTACTCGTCCATCGTGTGGTTTTCAGATTAATGGCACGAAAATAACATGAAATTGGAGATTCATACGATCGGAAGGCGATTATAACGTCCCCAGAGACCCACAAGAGAAGGAAAACACGCACAATGATGGAACGAACTACCTACGGTGTGGTGATTCTCGGTGTGGGTTTCATGTTCATCGGCACATCCTTTCAGACACAAGGGAACATGCAGGTGCGTGTGACGATAACATTAAATTCCAAAGTTATGCTGGTGATCACAAATGGCTTAATGAATCCCAAGGACTATACAGCGGACGTTTATTACCCCAACGAATGAATATAGTGTGTAAAGATAGGATACGGCTGGGAAAGTTTCTGCTATATATATATATATATATATATATATATATATATATATATATATATATATATATATATATATATATATATATATATATATATATATATATATATATATATATATATATATAATATATATATATATATATATATATAGCATGCCACTGCATATACATATATGTGTGTGTGCGTGTGAGTGTTTGTAAATGTATGGGTGCGTGTGTGTGTGTGCGTGTGTATATACGTATCTGTCGTATTGCGAACTCGCATATAAACCTAAAATTATATTCTTACTATATCGTTGTTGTTAATAAAGATTTCCAATTAACAACGGCTAGCTGTAAACATCTTTTTCTGTTCGAGGCGAAAATCGGGATACGTCTTAGTTCACACAATTCAATACACATGAATTCTTAATAATATTTATTTAAGCTATCAAATGTTACAACCTTCAATTTCCTGGTAAAAAAAAAGATTGTTAATACCCATTACCTAGCTTGCCCTTTCTCGGAAGTCAGAACATGTCTGATGAAAGACAAGATGATAAAATTGATTACTGCCCCCCCCCTCCCAGTGAACATCAAGAAAAAAAAATATATATATATAATTATTATACTTGTCCATTAATTCGAACACTAAATTTTGTTATACTAATATGCCTCCACAATAAAAACGTAAAAAAAAAATTTCGACATTTACAATCATAGCCAATGCACCTTTTACATGTCGAACCAATATTGATATTAAGTTACTCCGTCAGCAATTCCTTTTCACTAACTCTTTCCTCCTTCCTCCTTTTACCCGCCCGGGAACAGCAACTCGTCATCAAGAGCATCCAAGAGGAAGACCCGGACTTCGAGGGCTCTGGCTACATCTCCCTGGCCGTCATCTACGCCGTCTTCGCCGCCTTCAACTGGCTCGCCCCTTCCTGCCTCAGCTTCCTGGGGCCCAAGCTGACTATGATCGTCGGGGGCGCCACCTACGCGTGAGCATTTTAGTGTGGCTTTGGAGATATGGCATGTTGATTCTGGATTTGAATTGTTTGCGCCTGCCCACACGCTCATATGAAAGTACTCACACACACACACACACACACACACACACACACACACACACACACACACACACACACACACACACACACACACACACACACAAACACCTATATATACATATATGCATACATATATCTATATCTATCTATGTATATATATATATATATATATATATATATATATATATATATATATATATATAATTGTGTATGTATGTATGTATGTAAGAAAAGGTATCAATGCGAATATCATCATAATACCAGAAATGTATTTAACTTCTCGCCCGGCAGAAATTTCAATTGTTGTCTGGAGGTTACTATTGTGGATGGGCACCAAGGTGGGTATTATACATAGGCATAGTCCGGCCGAGGCTTAGCTTCGCATATCTGACTATCGGTATTCTAGATATTTGTATTTCCGACGAAGATTGATATTCGATACCGGTTAAATACATCACGTATTGTGAAGATATGCATTCTCAGCCATACCTCTTCTACCTTTGTCACAATGAATACGGTTCACACACACATACACACACACACACACACACACACACACACACACACACACACACACACACACACACACACACACACACACACACACGCATATATATATATATGTGTGTGTGTGTGTGTGTGTGTGTGTGTGTGTGTGTGTGTGTGTGTGTGTGTGTGTGTGTGTAATATCTAGAAAGACAGAGAGAGAGAGATATACCTAAGTTACTCACATTTACTTTTAAATTCCAGAATATTCGTCGCCTGTTTCCTTTGGCCCCAAACGTGGCTCCTATACTTGAGCTCGGTTCTCGTGGGCATCGGGGCAGCCCTCTTCTGGACGGGGCAGGGCAACTACCTTACTCTCATGTCCGACCGTGGCACCATAGCGCGCAACTCGGGCATCTTCTGGGCGCTGCTTCAATGCAGGTAGGTGTGCCCAGGTGTCAGGGGGGTTGGGTAGTAGCAGATTTGTTTGAGTAGTAGCAGACTGTTGGTGGTTCAGTGCTTTTGATTGCGGAAATCTCTCTCTTCTCTCTCTCTCTCTCTCTCTCTCTCTCTCTCTCTCTCTCTCTCTCTCTCTCTCTCTCTCTCTCTCTCTCTCTCTCTCTCTCTCTCTCTATATATATATATATATATATATATATATATATATATATATATATATATATTTTCTTTCTTTTCTTTTTTTATATAATTCTGTGAGGCTGTGGTTATTGTTGTATAGTGTATACTGATGTAGGTTCTAGGCATAAAATAGAGCGAACTAGACCATCAATTCCATCAATTCATTGCAAAGAAATTCTGTGCAAAAGGGATTAAAAAGAACTTATTCATGCCTAACAGTAAGAAATCGCAAAACGTTACGTAGAATCACACACCGTACAATATCTAAATTGAAAGAAAAATACTCGAATAAAATATGAAGTTATTGAACCAACAGAATATAGATGATACTTATATAATTCAGATTATATATGAAAAAATAAAAAAAAAGGTCACATCTAGCACCACACACAAAAAAATTGTAATAAATCAAGACACTCCGGGGTCACAGGTCACACAGAGCTAACAGGTCAAGAGTATATGTCGCTTTGTTTGCTTGCTTGTTGGGAATTATTGGCTAATGACCATCAGCATATGAGTATGGTAACACAGCCGCCCAACCTGTGGATCCAGTTCATTATATCTAACTTTTCTGATCTACGTCGCACTGTTCTGTTCTGGTATGACTTTATTTGTTAATTGCAGGTTGATCTACTTACTTTATCAAAAGAGATGGATTTTTGCTTTTAAAAGAGAGACGAAATACCTGAGGTCTGTATGAACTATGCTAATGTCTAGATCATTAGTTGACCCAGCTAATATGTCAGGTTAGTCGTTGCCATGGATACCTGAGAGAATAGGTGCCCATAGTGGCTTGACTGATTTGTTTGCACCGTGTATCTTGCAAATGATATTACCTAGTGATTATATTTCGTAGTTTCTAATTATTTGATTGCTTTAAGCGAAATCAGTGAATCAACAAAAATACTCTTCTAATGTGAGTTGTCTTCAGAGCAAAATCTAATCATTAAATGCAAAAAGTTCGCCAACAAAGATCGATGTATAATAATGATTATCATAATTTAGTTTTATTCCGTGTGTTACAGGCTCTCTGAATCCTGAAATGAATTGACAAATGCTTCACGTATGTCATGTCCAGTTTTACTAGTTGATTGAGAGTTTAATGTTGCTTTAAGAAGCGGCACCGCTGATTAACTGGTAAATTTCTGGTATTTAGAAAGTACACTAGCCTGCTGTTTACAATTCGTTCCATGACTTAGCACAAGCAACTCGTCAGCACAGTTGGGCTGTATCGATGCGTGCGTGTATGTGTGTGTGTGTGTGTGCACATCCTAACGCGTGTTCTCAGCGCCGACCCTTCCTGTGCGCAGCCTCCTCTTCGGAAACATCTTCGTGTTCTACATGTTCATGGGGAAGGACGTCATCGACGCAGGGACGCGCCTCGTGGTGTTCGCGGCGCTGACGGGCGTGGCGCTGCTCGGCCTGGCGATCCTGCTGGCGCTGCCCAAGCCCGGCGCCGGCGGGAGCGGGCGCCAGGACGACATGGGCGGACCTCCGCTCGACGCCCTCAAGAAGTCCTTCGAGCTCTTCAAGACGCGGGACATGATCCTGCTCTCGGCGACCTTCTTCTACACGGGTGAGGAGCTGTTGCTTACAGTCTCTCAGTTGTTTATATTTACTAACATTACAAATATAGTCGCCTGTGCGTATATGTATGTGGATATGTCTGAAAAGCTGTCATTCGTGTAGCTATTGGTAAGTTAATCTGTCCGCTCACTTGCTGTACAGGTCTATCCCTGTCCTTCTTCAGCGGCGTCTACAGCACCTGCGTTGGCTCCACACTGAGGTTCAGCGATCCCACCCGCCTAGTTGGTATCTCTGGCATGTGCATCGGTATCGGAGAAATATCGGGTGAGGATAATATATGAATCTGATGGCTTGAATACTATATATCTTTTATTTTTTATATATGTTAGAGATATTTAAGAGTTCAGTCAGTTCGTCTTTCTTATATTCATATATACGTATACTGTATTTGTTTGTATATATACATATTATACAAAACCATATATACTGTGTGTGTGTAAATATATATATATATAATATATATATATATATATATATATATATATATATATATATATATATATATATATATATACAGCTCTTCTTATAATCCCTTCCCTTATAGTTGAAACATCTTTACTTCAGGTGGTGCAATTTTTGTCATCTTTGCTGACAAAACAGTTAAAAAGGGAAGAGATCCTGTTGTGCTCATAGGATTCCTAACTCACCTGCTTGCCTTTTTCCTCATCTTCCTAAATCTTCCTACCAAGTCTCCTCTCGATCGCACGTTTGATCCTAGCTTCTTCCCTGGAGGTCAGCCGAGGTGAGGACGCCCAATGGGTAATGTTTCAGTGTCTTTTTATCATGAACACAATTGTTTCTAATCATTGTTGAACTTTTAATCATATACTCTCTCTCTGTATATATATATATATATATATATATATATATATATATATATATATATATATATATATATATATATATATATATATGTATGTATGTATGTATGTATATTTCCTCGTCTTTAACTCCTATTTCCATTACAGCGAGTTTGTCGCCCTCCTCTGCAGCACTATGTTGGGCTTCGGCGACGCCTGCTTCAACACGCAGATCTACTCCATCCTCGGCTCCATCTACCAGGACAACTCGGGCCCTGCTTTCGCGCTGTACAAATTCACGCAGTCGCTGTCAGCCGCCGCCTGCTTCTTCTATTCAAGTGTGCTGGAGCTTCACTGGCAACTTGACATCCTTACAGCGTTCTGTATGGTGGGCACAATGACTTTCTGCATAGTAGAGTGGAAGGTCCAAGTCACTGCACCATCTTCCCAACATGGCTTGAAAATATAAACTTGGAAAATGCATTAGGTGTGATTTTCCCCCCTAAACACAGGACGTCAGGGCTTTTAGAGAGTGACGTCATAGATTGCTGATTGGCCAGCGGGTATGCCGCTGCCAGGCGCAAAAGGTGAGGCGAAACTGTCCAACACCTCAGTATACGCACGGCGCTGTGGGAATCACATCAAGAACTTGTATATAATCGAATGACTCTCTCTCTCTCTTTCGGCAATATATATGACAAAATGTCAATATGACATGCATACCCATTCATAAATTCATAAAGGATGATTATCCCCATTAGTTTATGCCTCTACAAATTATTAGAAACACAACAGGCATTCAAAACAGACATATTAACTCTCTGCACATCAAGAGGTCATACACAGAAATAGGGTCAAGACAAATGCACATTCTAGGTCTTATCTGTATTAACCTACCACAAAATATTAGAAACATTCCCATCCTGATTACTTTCTAAATCAAATTATAAGAGGATGTTTTGAATTGTCAATGCCATCAAATATTTAAATGCATAGCCAAATTCTTTCTAATGATGAGCCAGTTTATTTCATCTTATTTTATAATTCCCTAATGAACTTATTTCTACTTATTTTGTATTACTGTACACTGACACTGCGTGTTCAAAGAAGAAGCATTGTAAATAATGGAATTGTGTTTTGACTTTGACTCTCTTTTCAGTTTTTTTTTTCTCTCAGTATTTTTATATTTCTTCTCTGCATATCTTAATTTTCCTTGCCTGCATCCATTACCTGCCTGTTGCAGTGAATATATAGGAACACCAATACAATTACATGCAAGGCATTTCGACTCTTGATAAAAAGAAATATTTGTAAAAGCTTGTAGCCCGTTTATTGGAATGGACTTGAAGCAACCTGTTGCTATTCTTTATGCCTCGTTTTGTATGATATAAAGATTTTTTTTTTATTGTTCAATATATGGAATACCATACATTATTTTTGTTTTTAAGTAATTATTATACACTTTTGGTAACGTTTCCTTCTTAGCTCCTCCGAATTTTTTTTTTTTTTATTATATCCATTTTTTAGGACTACCATATAATAATATATATAATATATATATATATATATATTATATATATATATATATATATATATATATATATATATATATATTATAATATATATATATATATATATATATATATATATTATATATATATATATATATATATATACATATATATATCCCCATATATATATAGTATATATATATATATATATATATATAATATATATATATATGCATATATATATATATATATATATATATATATAATATATATATATATATATCTATATATATATATATATATATATTATATATATATATATATATGACATATATATATATGTATATATATATATATATATATATATATATATATATATATATATATATATATATATATATATATATATATATATATATATATATATATATATATATATATATATATATATATATATATATATATATATATATATATATATATATATATATATATATATATATAATATATATATATATATATATATATATATATATACATATATATATATATATATATATATATATATATATATATATATATATATATATATATATATATATATATATATATATATATATATATATATATATATATATATATATATATATATATATACATACACACACACACACACATACTATCTATTTATCTATTAATTTACGTTTTCGGTTCGTTCTTCTACCTCCCTCTCTCTCTTTAAATACCTTATTTCTCTCGATATCAGACTCAAGAAATAAAATTAATGGAAGCAGTTTCCCCTAAAAGATGTTCACTTTCTTTTAACACAATTAAATACTACCGTTTTCTTTGAATAATACAAGTTGGAGATGGTTGATAATATGTGTGACTTGGTCATCAGTAATGTCTTATATCAACTTTAGATACAAAATGCGTTTAACCACGGCCTACAGCTTTTAAATTTAGTAATTGATGAAATGTTATCGATAAGAAGTAGATAGTCTCCTCAGTAGTGCATTAATGATTAATAATTATTGTCTTTAAAAAATGTGTCTCCTTATTCACAATATTGGTTCAGCTGCAGTTGCCATAACCTATACATATCTCACGTATATATACATATGAAGAGTTCAGATTGCAAAGATCGACGAAGGTCACTTTCCACCCAGCCTTCCTGTAGCTCAATTGATTGATTCTCATATGTACAACGTTGATTACTTATAAAGTTTGTGGTAAATGTTAATCATTCATAAACACAGTTTCATCATACCTATTTTCATTACTAATACGTTTATGGAAGACTTTTATTACTATTAGTATTACAATAAATTAATGGAAATCAAAATGTCAATAATTGTATCGACGTTAATAGCAACAAAGAACCCCTATGATCAAGATCTGTATTGTCTTTCACTTTCTCTTTTGCGCTCTCTATATCCGTCTATCTATATTCAGAAATAGAATATTGGTGGATATATTACTTCTCTATCATTTATTTTGTATATTACATTCTAACAAGTATAATTGTAATAAGTATTTTACAGATATTCTCACGTATAAGATTCAGCGAATAGATAGACACAAAAAGAAAGTTACAATAGAAGAAAAAATATATGTTGACAATTAATATGTTTCAATGAAACACATTCCCTATTTTGATTTTACTCTTATTATCTTATATTTCAACAATTTTACATACAGCTTAACTAACCTGGTCTTTAATAGTTGCCAAATACGTAAACAAACACAATGAATTTTCGTAATTGAAAAAAACATTTTCAGCCCGTGAAAGGGAGATCAGAATGATCCTCATTACTTATGTGAAACTCCAAGTTCATGATATTTCTGATTCTTGTTTACAGTTCCCTAAATATTTTCGATTGCATTGCGTCTTCATTGTTTATACGTATTTAGACTCAAGTTGGTGTAATATCATAATAATCCAAATGTTTATAATAATTACCAGCATGCTTGTTTCCTTTTCCTTACCATTATCAATAAAGGTTTGTTATCAACAATATTAACATTTCAATAAATATAATCTTTCGGGTGAATATTTCTTCTCTATATATTTCTTGTTATAACGATTAGCAATAGTCTGTTATTATGATTTATATCATAGAATATAATAATGTTTTTGATATCGAGACTTTTTATATGGTCATCAGTAATATTCATTAAGTTTAGATAGCAAACAAGGTGGCTTCATTGACTTCAAGTACGTTTTGAAATATAAATGATACTTGCGTTAGTGAGAGTTTATAAATCTTTTTTCATCCCTAAACATCATCGTTATTATTACATTCCTCCTTACTATAATTCACACTTATTATCACTGATACCACAGTTCGCAATTTAAAAGCTGTAAAGCCAAATTGATCTATTACCCGATCAATGTTACCAGAGAATAAGAAACAAGTAAAAAAACAGTACGTATTTGTAATCTATTATACATTCATTGGTTCATACTATCATTATTTTTAACATAGCTATAATAGTGTTACTCGAATAGTAATAGCAATACAAAAGTCGACGTTTACCTAAGAAAACTATGCGTTACAAATAGGTATGATGGTTTTGCCGAGAAATGCCTAGGAATTATCATTACAATAATCAACTAAATAATTAACATTATGCGTCTGTGATTTGTCCTCCTCATTGTACATGCATTATGTAGATCGTAAAACGGAATATATACAGGTTTCGCCTCTGACAATTTATAAGCTATGGCACACAAATGTATATCAATATAATTTGTTTAATAATATTTACTTCGTGCAAAAAGGTATATTTCTTACTTGTTTCTTCTGCCATTTCCAACTAAAATGGAACTAATCAATTCACTTTCTCTCTTTCTCTTTTCCGCCCTCACTCTCTCTCAGTTCGAAATGAGGTGATTGTGATATTGACGTAAAGATATTGATTGATAACTAAGACAGTAATGATGTAAGATATCCACTTATAAGTTAGATTTAAAAATTAATTATACTTATAAAATTTTATGACAAGCATCCCTAACAAAGACTTTTTGGGCCGCAGTTGATATTCCATTTGACTGAGGATTTGAGTTGTTTCATCCTGTACTCCGCGGTTCCAGTTGATTATATAAGTATTAAGTAATTAACACACATTTTAGCATTATTGTTATTATCCTTTTCTCATTTTTTATTATTTTTATTATTACCAGTACCACTGTATATTTTGTTATTATGATGATTATTATTGCTATTATTAGTATTATCATTATTGTCTTGTCATAAGTTTATTTCCTTGTCATTATTATCATTTTAATTATCATTTTACTATAATCACCATTAGGATCAATACTTTTATATCATTATCATTTTCATTTTATTCACATCATTATCATTAGTACCATTCTCATGTACATTTGCGTAATCCGCTAAATGAAATACAAACAAGCATCGTCTCAGAATTCATAGGTAAGCGAAGGCACAGAACCACAAGGCATAGGTGAACCGTGCCTTAGTTAATCTTTGTTATCTGTACTTCTCAATATTTAAGTAAGATCTTTTTTTAGTCTTTATCGTCTGTTTACTAATATTCGACTAAATAAGTCCCCCCCCCCCCAGCCTCGAAGGCGAGTGTTCTACCATTGAGTCATTGCGAATAGTTCTGAGTTTGCTGTTTGGGATTAATAAGCAAGATAGACACCCTATAGTGTCTGCTAAATTCATCATCAGAATGGGTTCAGTTTGTGTGTCTACGTAAGAGCGTGATTATTACATGGTTTATCATGAAAGAGGGAAGAAAGGGAGAAAGACTGAGTCATATAAGATAGATGAAATATTCTAAGACGGCATATACATTATGTTAATGTATATAATGTATTTATCTCTCTACCTTTATGCAAATATATGTTTATCTACCTATATCTCTTTATTTATATCTTTATCCATCTCCCTATATTCAAAAAGATATTCTCACGTGAAAGATTCTGCGAATATAT